GGGGGGGGGGGGGGGGGGGGGGGGGGGGGGGGGGGGGGGGGGGGGGGGGGGGTAGTGAGCGGCGCGCTCTTCCCGGCGAGAAGAGGGGGCATGACACCGAGAGAGGGCACGCCACAGAGCGAACGGCGACACCGAGCGATGATGAATGAGATTTCCAATCCTGGTCTTGGAAGCTGGTGACACAAACACGACAGAAAAAAACTCCCTCCGTTTGCGCACACATCATCCACGGGAAATTTAAAAGCAGGTGCGTTCCCCACCCCACCCGTGTGCACCCCAAAACGAGATAAAAACAACAAAAAAACATGACCAGATACACACCGCCTAAACACGCAAAATAAGCGGGCCATCTCCCTACCGGCGTCAATCAGAACGAGACCAAATACTTACCTCCGTGCAGACGAACACCCCACCCCTGTCCGGCACGTAGAGGTCGTGCAGCCGAAACCCTTCGAAGAGGCCGGAAAACACCGCGTACACCCGTTCTCCCAGTAGCATTGCCCTCCCCCGAGCTGCCGGCCGTGGGGGCGTCGGCGGTGACGCAGAAGACGGGGCCAAGACAGCAGGGGATGGGGGAGCCGGTGGCGGCGGCGCATTCTCGGAACCCCGGACCCCGGCGGCGTCGGCGGCGGTGGCAACATCCGTACCCGTCCCGCCTACTACGGTATCGGCGGGAATGCCAGCGGAGGCCGTCGGGGTTGGAGGGGGATCTAGGTTAACGGAAGCCGGGGACGGGGCTCCGTCGTCGTCGTCACCAGCCGCGTCTTTGTCGACCACCAGCAACAGCTCCCCGTTGCCGCTACCGCCGGCGGCGGCGGCGTTCTCACTCGCTCGGGCGCCGCTCGACGATAGCAGCGGCGGCGCCGGCGCCTGCGCTGCGGCTGCTGCTACCGCTTGTACTGTCCTCGCGGTGAGCTTGGGTGCGACAGCCGCGGGGCCCACGGCAGTATTGGTGTCTTCGGGCGGGACGAAGTAGAGCATCATCAGCATGATGAGCAAGCGGTCCATGCCCTGATGCGGCACGATATTGTAGCAACGGCAAGTAAAAGGGGGATAGATCCTCAGCAAGGTGAGTGAGAGAACAGGGGTAAGCGACTGTTCGCCTCCCGATCGCCGCGATTCGCGAATCTAGCAGCCAGGGGGCACGATGTCGCGATGGCAGGCAAGACAACCGCAGTGGCGTGATACGCGGCACACGCGCTCGGCGCTTTGCCGCTTGAACGGACATCTTCCCATGCGCCGACAAGAAGGAAATAACACTCGGACAACGCTATCTTCCGTCCCAAGAGCAGAAAAAGAAAATCACACGTCATACCCCCGGGCCTTGTCTACCCGCCTCCAAAACCCTCCTAGTACCCAGTCCCTCCGCAAAAAAACGTTTCGCAAAGTTGTTTGTCAGCCATTGGTCGAGGGGCTACAGCCCCTCCAAAGAATCTGAGCTCCTTGCCAGATAAAGGGTGACTTGGCTTCATGATGAAATGTGTCCCCAACACACGCGGGGACACTTTTGATACTGAAGCCAAGTCAGCAAATTTTTCCAGTAACGGGCGATGTACAATTTTTTCGACCCAGGGGGCACGCGGATTGGGAGATGTGTGTAGACAGTAAGTAGACCTCACACAGCGTATCACACAGCGTATCACCTCAGCCAAGCATGATAGACCAAGGTCTCACGTGCGTCGCACACAGTGGAGCCTCGGGTGACTTCGGTGCGGTGAATAGGAAATTTGAGTGCCGTGTCCCCGAAGTGTCCACATTTGGGCTTCCAGTACTAGGAGGGTTAAGGGCCTCGCAACCCAAAGCACGTACCTGACAATAACCCACGGCCGGAAATCTAGCGGCGATGGCAAGCAAAACGTTCTCGAGGCACCGCCTCTTGGACCCCACCGGCACCGCGGCCCAGGCGTCGTCGAGCCTCTCCAGCACGGCGGCGTCGTCTTCTGCCGCTACTGCTGTCTCTACCCCTGCCTCCTGCCGCGCAGGTGTTGTTGTCCCGGCTGCTCCGGCCGCCTGCTGCTCACCGCTGGCCGCCGCCGCCGCGTTCCCGCTGGTGACGGGGACAACCGTCGGCGACCACCCCCGTCTGCCAGCCGTCTTTTCCGTCTGCTGCCTGGGCGTTAAACCACCGCCGCTACTGCCGTCGCCGCCGCCCCCGCCGCTGCCGATCGTCATCCGCCTTGAGCTCCTCGGCGGCGAGGCCCTAATCCTGGCCCCCACCCCGTCCGACGACGGATCGGGGGCGGACGGGGCGGGAGAATGAGGGGGGAGACGGCGCGCAGCACCTTTGCCGCCGCCGCCGTCGTTGTCTCTACGGAACGGAGAGAGCGGGAAGGAAGCGAGCGTGAAGCCTCCTCCTGCCGGCTCCCGCGACGGGCTCGCTCCACCGGCGGCGACCCGGGCCCCCGGCCCCGTGCCCGGGCTCACGCCCGGGTTCAGCCACGAGAACGGGCCGCCGCCGCCGCCGCCGCCGGTGTCGTTGAACCCTCCGCCCCCGTTCTCCCCCTGCAGCGACGCCCGTCGGCGGTGCGGGGTTGTCCCCCAGCCCCGCCTCCTCGGCGGGGTGCCTGTGCCCCTGGCGCCAACCAGCTCGTCGTCGTCGTGTCTCCAGTTGCCGACCAGAAGGTTGGTCAGCGCGCCGCCGAAAAAACCTAGCCCGTCGCCGCCGCCGCCACGGTCTTCACCGCCTCCACCGCCTCCACCGCCTCCACCCCCGGCACCCCCCATGGTCATGCGCCTTCTGCCCCCCGGCCTGGGTGTGCTAGTCGCCGCCGCCGTCGATCTCGGCGTGGCCGTCGCCGACGCCGAGCCTCGCCGTGTGCTATTGTTGTTGCCGGGAGTGATCGTGCTTCGGCTGCCGTCGCCGCTCTCACGGCGCTTGTGGGGGGCCACGGCGCCGAACGCCCGGGGCACGTCGCGCGCGATAAGGGCGGCGTGGGGCCCGGCCCTGCCGATTTCGACCAGCTGGGCGAACGAGCTCAGCGACGACGAGAACGAGCACGACGAGAACGAGTCCCTGCCACAGATGCTCCCGCTACCGCTGCCGCCGCCGCCAGCAATACTACTGCCACTGCTGACCCGACGATCCTTATCGCCGTCGCCGCCGCCGCCGCCCCCGCCGGCGACGGCCCGTTGCACGAGCATTTGCCACACCGCGGGGCGGAGGCTCGCAGGCACACCCGACGAGCGCACAATGCCCCCGAACAAGTCCTTGCCGCGTTCCTCGCCGAAGCCGAGGGCATCCCGCCAAGCCCGGCTCACCGCCTGGCACGCCGCGAGAGCCCGTAAGCTTCCCGAGAGTCCCACCGCTCGGGTCAAGAACGCCGGCAGCTCGCGGGCGAGAGGCTCCAGGTCGCAGATCCTGCCGCCGTCCCACGCTGGCTTGCTACCGCTACTGCGGCTTGCACCGCCGACGTTCACGATTGGGTCACTGCCGCCGTACGCCGTCTTCGAGAGAGGTGAACTGATGGCTGGCGCAAACCTTGCCGCCCCCGCTCCCTCCCCTCCCCCCTCCCGCTGCTGCGGCATGGGAGGTGACACGAGGAGGTTATGGCGGGTGCTTTCGCTTGAGGCGGCCTGCAGAGCGGCGAACCCTCTCCCGCGAGCGCCGCAACCGCCACCACCTCTACCGCTGGCGCTCCCGGCTGGAGAAGGCGCTCTTGGTACGTGCTATGTTATCAACACGTTTTTGGGCGGGAGTGGAGTGTTTTGAACGAGCCAAAAAGTGACGGCGGGGGCGAGACCGGGAGGGGGCGGGGTTGGGGAAGACACCGGGAAGGGAACAAAGGCGTGGCATTGAACAATTATCCTCGTATTTTGCGCATGAAGGTCGGCAACCGAAGAACAGAATTCGGTGGGATGACCATCTATGTACTTGCTCGTGGGAGAAAACGCCCGGACAGTCGCGATGGCTTGGAAGGATGTTACAGAAGCTCGAACTAGGTCTGCGTATCTAGAGTTGCCAACGAATCTCTGAGCCACACGAGCCTTGTGCAAGGCAAACCACTGAGGTGGATTTCGCGAGACGAGACACCACAGCGGAAGGAAGGAGACGATACAAAGAAGCATGACATTTGACACGAAGAAGACGCACTCGACTCGAAACGCATCTCAAAAACAACAACAACAACGCTCAAAGGAAAAAGTTATCCGTCCGCTCTTGCCATCAATTCGCAAGACCTTACGACGGGAGCGACGACGAGATACAGGACTCCTGCAGCGCTTCGACCGTGCGAACCGCACGGCCAAGTCAACTCCATCTTTCCAATCCTTGCTCCACAGGTTGACGAGTGTCCAGTGTTGCGCAGCAGCAAACTCCGGCGGCAAGGGGCCTACAACGGTACTCGTAGCACCCTATCTTGTGGTGGCCGGCCGTAACACGAGCGCTCTGATGCCTGGTAATCGAAGGCGTCAACATTAAAAAAATATATATACCACAAGTTACAAACGCCCACCTCGTTTCCGTGCTGGCCCGGCAAGCAGCTCGGCCGTGGGTCCCGCGAGGACGCCCCCCCCGCCTGCATCCTGGTGGGCCCCGGCGACAGCGACGCCCGCCTCCGCGGGGACCGGGCGGAAGCTGGCGTCGACCACGAGGACCCGGTCACGCGTAGGGAAGACGTCACGTTATGCGGCTGCCGTTCCGTTGGGGAGTGGCGAGCTGCGGTCTCCTCTGCTGCCGCCGGCGCCGCTGCAGCTGCTGCCGGTGACCCGGGCCTCACTGCCGGTGACCCGGGGGGGGCAGGCGCCCCGCCGCGCGCGCGGGGTGGTGGTGGCACACCGGGCTTGGGAGGGGACCCGGAGCACGGCTGTTGGCGCGGGGGGGACCCCGAAACCGGCCCCGCCGCCGCCGGGCCAACGCGACGAGACGGCGATCTCGTCGCGCAGCCCCTCGACGCGATCCCCTTCACGGCGGCCGGCGCTGGCTTGGAAGCAGCTCCCGCTGCCCCCAGCGGCGGCGGCGTTGGCGGCGATTTTTCGGCTGCGTCTTCGGCCGCCGCGTCCTCCTGGACCGCCGCTTGGGGTAATCTCGAAGAGCTTGCGGGCGATCCCGGCGAAGACGATGAGGCGCCCACGGCACTGTCGCTGCCGAGCTCTCGGAAAGACGTTATCGACAGCAGCCTAGCTTCGTCCTGGTCCCTGACCCCGTGCCCTCTGTCCTGCACTTCGCTGCCACTTGTGGCGCTGCTAGCAGAACCGTGCCCTCTGTCCTGCACTTCGCTGCCACTTGTGGCGTTGCTACCAGAAGAAGCCCCACCTGCAGAAGGAGCAGCAGCGGCGGAGGCGGTGGTAGTGGTAGAAGCAGCGGTCACCACAGCCGGCGGTGGGGGGCCGTCGAAGAAGCTTCGGCGCGGTGCCAGTGCTGCCTTCGTCCCTTCTGCGTTCGCCTTCGGCGAAGCAGAAGCCACGTCCTTTGATGAGCCGTCGTCGCGCACGACCCCAGCACCTCCCGTCGCCACGCCAACAACAACGACCGCTTTCTCCACATCCCCGCCATCGCTGCTCACCGCCGGCCAGAGCACGGGGGAGCTCCTGGTCTTGGGGGTCATGTACATCTCCCCGTCGTCGGAGTCGTCCACAGCACTCGCGGACAAGCAGATGGAGGAACTGCTGCTACCCGCGGGCGTAAACCTGTCCGCTGCCGCGAACGTCGCTGCTACCGCCGCCACCGCCGCGACGGCCGCCCCCGTCGCCGAAGCACTGCTGTCCTCCGCAACCGCTTTCTCCGTGTTCGCGCCTGACGGTGAGGGCACAGGCGGCGGGAGGCCAGCATCGGCACCGCCGCCGCCCTGCCCACCATCAAACGCAAGGAAAGAGGCGAAAGACGGCGTCCTCGTCAAAGGCCCAGGTGTGTTCCGGCCTTGGCGTTGCCCATGGTAGGACAGCTTTTCCATGACGGCGGGGGGGGACGGGGTCGTCATTGGGCTGCTTCCGGCAAAGTCATCTTCTCTCAAGGGAGAAGGCGGTGTGTCAAACCCATGCGATGCTCTCGACGACGCCCCCGCCAACGTCACATCTGCGGGACGCGACCCGGTTGCCTGGCTACCCTCAGCGACGGGCACGGGCATACCCGAGCGGTCTTTCACGTCCGACGTATCTGGTGGAGCACTCAGGTCGTCCGCTATTGCAGAACCGCTAGCCTTTGCTGCTACCGCCAGCACGCCCTCTTCCTTTTCTTCCTTCGCAACCTGTAACGCTTCCTTTGTTCCGCTCTTCTCCTCAGATTCGATCGGCTGCGGCGAAGCCTCGCACGCAACCGCCACCGCCGCCGGAAAAGGTGCCGCTTCTTCGCACGACTCAGCAGCACCGGCAGCGGCGACATCCGCAGCACCGGAATCAGTGGCGTCTTCGCCGCGGGCACGGTCGAGCTCGTCCGCGCCGTCACAAACAGCTGCCTCACTCCCGTTGAGGACGGTCTCCTTAACGGCGGAAGACGTACCCACCTTCCCACCTGGATGGTCCTCACTCTCGCCCTCCGCGAAACTACGAGGATGGAGATGAGACGCGCCCTCTCCCCCCCGTCCGAGCTTGTCGTCACCCACGCCGACGCAGGAGTCAGCGGCATCCTCGTCTCCCTCCCCGCTGCCCACGCTCTCGCTCTCCATGCTCACCGGACCGAGGACGCCGAACTTGAATATCTCGTCTCGGCTCAACGCCCTGCTTTTCTTGGCGGCGAGCGGCTTCCTGCTATCTCTCGTACCCTGGCCCTCGGCGACCATCGAACCAAGGACCACCTCGCCACCACCATCGCTACTCATGGCGCGGTCAACGCCGGCGGTGGGGTGGACCGGTGGGGAGGAGGTCAGTTGTCGGTCGCCTTGCCCTGCCGTCCCGCCATCCCCTCCCGACTGCCGTTGCGGCGGTCCCAGAACTTGGTCAGCTGTTGAGGGCCTTGCTTCTGCCCCGCGGTCTAACCCCTTGGTTTCTTCCGCCAATGCCCCTTCCTTTGTTCTACCCTTCTCCCCATTCACCGGCTGGTGCCCCCCCCGGTCGTCTGTGGCTTGCACCACCCCTCCCATTCCCACGGCCAACCTCTCTCTTCCTGCCTTCGAAAACGGATTGCTCTTGCTGCTGCTGGTGGTGCTGGTGCTACCGCTACTGCAGCTACTGCCTCTAGCAGCTTCACTGACAATACCGATTGCTCGTTCCCTCACTGGTCTCTCCTTCGTGTCCAAGGGCTTCGCCGGCGGCGGAACGACCCGACTCCTAACGCCAGCACCGCCCTCCCTAGGAGCTGCCCCACCGCTCGCGTCAACCGCCGTTGACGCTTTTACCGGCAGCGGAGGTACTCTACTACTGTCGCCGCCGCCGCTGCCGCAGCTGATGGCAGCCGGAACAACCCGACGCTCAAAATTCGGGGACGTTTTTTCTCCACTCGTGGCGGTGGTTACCGCAGCTGCAGTGGCAACGGGTGCCGGGGCCCATCGCCCCTCCAACGGCTTTGCCGACCCCGCTGGCGATGGCGTCACGGCAGCGGAGGTCCAAGCCTCCGCCGGCGTGTACATACCGGCCAGCAAGGAGCCGGACCGTTGGATCGCGCCTCGAACCGACAACGGTATTCTCGAGGTAGCAAACAGAGTGCCTCCTCTCTCTCCTCCAGTCTCGCCCCTTCCGGATGTCCCTACGCCGGGGTCTTTGCGTTCCGTCGAGGGGGCTACGTTCCTCTTCTCAAACATGGCCTGCGAAGATTGTGTGCAGGGAGGAGAGCGGCGTGCAACCGAAACCGTGAGGGGGGGGGCGTGGAGCGAGGGGTTAAGAAGTCGAGAGCAAAAACGAAGGGCATTCTCTCTAGGACACATGTACAGTCTCCTTGACGGGCGGTGCTTTTTCCTACCGCACAGCATCGACAGAGCAAGCTAGAGTGGGCAAATAAAACCAGCACAGTGTCGGCGTACCAGCAAACAATCGCTACACCTTCATGTGTTCCACTCCCGACCCGGGCATCGACTCCGCGGAAGGGCGTTCCTGGTGGACGCGAGCCCTCTCCCGGGAGTCTCTGCTCCCGCTACCAAGACGCCTGCGGCCCTCCTGCTGCAGCTCCCTCGCACTATTCGATCGCCGCTCCCACATCTGCCGGGCGAGCCTGACGCCCTCGACGACGCCTTGGGCGGAGTCCGCCTGGTTACCCCCGTCCGACGGCCGCTTGGCTCCGGCGACTCGCGGCGGCATCCCGACCGGCTCGGGCGCCGGGCGGCCGACGGTAGCTGGGTGCACTGGAGAGCACACGACCGCCTCGTCGTGACTCATCGCCGGCACGGCTGACGCTGCGTCGTCGGAAAGGGGACGAGCCGATGGTCTCGTGGTGGCATGGGCTGTAGGTGCTGCTGCAGCGGCAGGTGCCGCTCCAGCGGCTGCCGCTGGGGGGGTCGCAGGCACTGCTGTTTCTTTCACCGCGGAGCGGGGAGGGCATTGGTGGACGTTCCCTGGGACGATGCCGTTTGAGAGCCCTGACTGCGCCGGGCCTGCCGTATTCCACGTGGGAGATCGAGCACCCACCCGTTGCTGTTGTTGCTGCGGTTGCTGATGCTGTTGCTGTGTTTGCTGCTGCTGCTGCTGCTGCTGCTGCTGCTGCTGCTGCTGCTGCTGCTGCTGCTGGCATTCCGACGGAGATGCACCTCGAGGAGGGATCTGAGTCGCCGCAACCACGTCAGAGCCGACCCCTTGTATTTCTTCAGCTAACAACGACGTAGGCGGCGGCGACGGCACGCGCGCAGACACGGACGACGAGCTGGATGACAAGGAGGACGGGGAAGAGGCCGTGCGATTCCAAGGTCTCCGACGTCGATGTTCACTGCCGCGATCAATCCGTATCGGAGGAGATCTCGTGCATCCACCGCCGCTGCGCCCACCGTGTCCTACCCGCTGAGGCGACTTGTCATTGGTCGAGCACAATGGCAGCGGGGAAGAGCTGGGCCAGCGCGAAGATGACGTGCTCACGTTGGCGCTCGAGACGCTGCATCTAGGAGGCAAGGCACGCTGATCGAGCGCGGAAGGGAGGAACGTGACCAAGAAGGGGCGGTGCAATATACAGAGACGTCGGGGGCGGGGGGGGAGGCACTCCGACATGTTTGAGACCCACGAACCTCGTCCGGCAACCTCCGGCACGAATCCAACACCATTTGTTCTCCTCTGCACGGCTGCCCATGTGGGCCCCAGCTAGAATCCGCTACGCGCGACGAGACGCTCACAATCCGGAGAAAGACAATCACGACTGCAGTAACTCTAGCATGGCAGTGTATTGCAGCACCACTACAACCCTAAAATCGCTAAAAAACGACCCCCGGCACGCAACAAACACTAACAACCCCCTTCCCTTGTCCTACCGGAGAGTGGGAGTAGAGCGGGTTCAGGTGGTCGTCCTGGCGCATCACCAAAGCCTCGTCGCACTCCATGAGGAACCGCACAAGGCCCGAAAGCAGACGCGGCTCTGTGCCGCACAGCATCGCCTTCATTGCTACCGTGTCTGGCAGCGCGCACACAAGGTACGGCGGTCGCGAGAGGAACGACCAGAAGGTAAGGATGCGACACTTTGCCATGCATGGCAAGGAGGGAGAGGCCCGGAGAGATGGGATGGGCGGCGAAAACCGGCCTCTTTCTACTTCCTCCCACCAGCGAAATCCCACAATTCAAGGCGAGGAGACACAGAAAAAGGGAGGACGTGTCACCAGCGCCTGTTCTCACCCAGCCCCGTAGGAAACACCGCCAAGGAGTCCTGCGTCGGGAGCTCTTTAAGCTGCAGCAACTTTCTCCACAGGTTCGCCTCGCGCAGGCTAAACTTCGGTTCCTCGGCCTCCCTGCTTCCGGCCACCTCATTTTGGTCAGACCCACGCTCATCGCCACCGACGAGCTTCTCACTGCTGCCACCGCTTTTTAGGGGCCAGCCTTTCACTGCCCTCTCTCCAGCCGGTCGATTGCGGCGGGGTCTGCCGAAGCCGCCGCCGCCGCCGCCGCCGCCGACTAGATTGCCCTTTGGGCGGGGTACGAAGCAGAGCTCGCAGAACTGTGCTTGGGGTCGATTGCTGAGGTGGCGCCGCCACATCGCACCGCGCATCAAGAAGGCACAGGAAAAGGGAGGTGCAACGTTAAGAACAAGCGCGAGAAAAAATCAGCAAAAAGACGCGCGTGCTTTTCGGTTGATTCCACGCATGTGCGGATACGTCGGTTGCATGACATCATCATCCACGGGTTGAGATGCTGCGACCGTCCCTTCGTACCACAAGTAGTCTACTTCAGGGAGCAAAGAACAGCAAACAGAAGATGCCGAAAGGTGCACAGCAAGCAAGCCGCAGGGGCTGACAGCAAGGGCCGCGTGGTAGTGAAACGCACACAAGCGGTAGCACGACATGACTAATAGTTTCTCAATTCCAGTCGAACAGTTATCACCACGATGAACGTCTTTCATACTTGGCAAAAAAACGCACCTCTGGTTGCAGCCGCAGATCCAGCGCTCTGAGGACTTAAGTCTCTCAAGGACGTACCCCGCCAGGCGCCCAAGGTGGCCCACATCCAAAGAATTTAAGCTGCAGTACAGCCAACAGACGCCAGGCGCGGAAGCATCGGTAGGATTGAAACCATGCGCAGTAAACGGTGAGACAGAGGACGGTTGCGGTACGCACCGCGCCGACTGCCTCAAGAGCTACGTATGTAGCTTGACTCGATTAGCTGCTGTGCGCTGGGCCAGATGCCAAGCATTTGCCAGGGGGGGCAGCGTGACACCGCCGAGGCATGGAAGTGGCACACATCACCAACGGCAGGCAGAAATCACCACATCAGTTTGACCACACGACACAGGTTTGCTCCTGGTAGTCGTGATGCAGTCTTGTGCCTTCTGTAGGTCGCCTATCGCAGGGCACCCGAGCCGAAGGGTGCGCACGACTTTCTGTCGATGTGCGGGTGTGTTAAAAGGGGCAGGGGGGGAAACAATACACACTACACGCCCGGAGGGGGGTCGAGAATCTTTCATGAAGGGTGAATGCGCTGCGTGTTACGCGCCTCCGCCGTGTTGCAGACTACAGCAGCACTCGCCTGGAAAACTCTCCCGAAGGGTGGCTGCCGCCAGGAGAACGCGAAGACCACGGGGAACTGCTGCCAACCCCACCCCCACCGGTATCATCCCTCGTGGCACCGGCGGTACGGCTGACGTTTGCACCAATAGGAGCGGAAGGAGTAGCAGGCGCAGAAGTAGCTGTGAGGGCAGGGCTACGTCCGAGGATGGTGTTCACCCACTGCAGAATATCCCAAGCCGACCCATGCTCGCTTCCAAGGAGCAAAGACGCGGGATCTCCCGATCCTGGAGGTTCTTTTTCTAGCGCACTCCGCGGCCTTGGTCTGGATGACTTGGGTCGGTGGTACTCGGGCACGAACCTAGATCGGCGTGCGGCCTCCACAGGAGAAGGAGGAGGGTCGGCCTGCCCTCCAGCTTCCTCCATCACTACCCGCTTGACCTCTGCAACAGACCTTCTGCGAGACAACAGCAACCGCGAGTAGGTGGGGGGCGCGAAGGGACCGCCGGTATGAATGAGGACTTTCGCGATCGTGTGAGTCTGGAAAGGGGGCATTCGACGCTACACGCCTTGGGACGAGGTATGGGGGGAGGTTCCGTGGACCATGCACGTCAGCGAAACGTGGAAACGTGTCATGTTGATTGCCCGCCCCCCAGGGACTAGAGCCAGTAGGCAGCGTCACCGAAAACACGCCTCTCTGCGTGACGAAGACAGCCACGGAACGCAACCTGCCACTCTTTGCGGTGTCGATATGTACGTTCAACATCAGTATTGTAGTGGTCCCGAAATATCGCGATGTAGCGACAAAAACCACCGTGTTACATAGGGACCCGCGCGACTGGGGGAAGGTCCCTGAATCGGAATTTAGTACAGGCTGTTGTGCCAAGGAATTTTGCCGCGATGCTGTTTATCGGGACCACCACTGTACCAATAGCGCTGGTAGAATACCTCAACCCCGCACAAGGAACATCGTATCACGCCGCACATTTGGCCGGACCTGCGCGAGATATCTGCGCACCCGTCATATCGCAATCTCCGAAGGCTGCAATAGTCAATGCACGCTGCTGTTCATGTGCAAGAAAGCAACACCAAGGCTCCGGCTAACTCCGCCTTTAATCGGGTTGCTTCGGATATTTCTATTTACATTGTTGCCATCCAGCAACCCACCGGACACCTTACAGCTTCGCGTTTGGTGTCAAGGACGTGTGACAGGCAAGAGACGAGAGGTGTACCAATGATCGGAATGCTCTACATGCACCATTTGGTAATCTCCAACTCGGCCACGCCCAATCGACTCGCTCTCAACAAGCCTCTTAGTTATATGGAGCTACTCGCACGCCCACTGCAATCTACAGACACGAGACAGGCGGGCGATGATTTTGTACAGCGCGGGGGCGCCAGCTGTGTGTCTGCACGTTTCTGTCGACTGTACCGTCTTGACGACGCTATTCAGCTCGGTAGTGGAAGGCCGCCAGGCTATGTAGGCTATGTCTATGCCATCGGGTAGTTTTCATTGCTGCAACAGTCACATACCGATACTTCGCGAGATCTACATGGTGCTGCTGTTACGGCACGCACACAACTTGCTGCTGTTTGTGTTGACAAAGGCCGGTTGTCGGGGGATATATATTGCTGGAGCCTTGCTTGTATACATCGCGTGTTACACGCGTTCCGCTCGGCAACAAGATACTCGAAGCGGCCTGTAAGTCGGCGGCTTCAAGATGAAAAGACGATGCACGATTAGTATCGTCGAGGGCACCGGGCACCGGGGCAAGAACTCGTCATGTCGTCGCCGCTCTCTACTCTGGAGTCGAGCTTCCTGATCAATGAACACCCGAGACACAATTCCGGCCTGAGGATGAGGATACCTTCACATTCGGCTGAGAGTCAAAGCGCAAGCAGCTTTATTCTTCCTCACACACACGAACCGACCTTCTAGACAGCACAATATACTGGTACCAGTGAGCTACCTTTCCGAAGACGCGTGCCGCTGGTACGACGGTGCACACTACCCGCGCTCCTTTCCAGCGTAGTAAGGTGGTCACTTCGAGAATCTATGGGAGACCTGCTGTAGCCAGCTACCAACCTAGATGGTGACGTTGCTGCCAAGGCCAAAGCAAGGCCTAATCTCTCTCGTCCCGCTCGTTCCAGCTGGACATGTCGATGGTACACAGCACAGTAACCAGCACAGCACAGCAGTACACCGGCACAACTCGGGCCGGCGGAGCTGTGAGCGGCTCCGTGGATCATCCCGCATGCGTCCACAAAATAAATCTTGTTCCACTGTGTAGCCCCGACTTTCGTCCGAATCCAAATACAGCAGTAGCGGCGGCTACAGCAGTTTCACATGAGATGTTTAACAAAAGCCCGGGTTTATAGTCTAGGCTGACTCTTGTGAGCAAAAGCAAGAATCCGTGTGGAGAATCCGTAGGAGATGCTATACGAAAAATACTGAAATTTCTCAGCACACATAGATCCCACAGCGGTCACCCCTAGCTTCAAAGACGCCTAAAGGTATGGTGCGCACAGCCTTCAGGGTTTGGCGACAATTCGATCATCATGGAGGGAGAACTCTGTGGTGATGTGGTGAGAGGTCTGTCTCTTGGTCGAATCCGTCGCAAATCCGGGGGGTGGGGGTATGCCAGTCCAAAAAAAACGTCGGGCCAACTTTCGGTTGCCATAAAGAGTCATGCTTCACAACAGACGTGAACTGGCTTGGCACGGCCAAAATCGGTTAAACAGAAAATTTGTCTTCTGGAGGCCGCGCCACGTATAGGAGTGGTTCGTCCAGTGGGTGATCGGGTGGATTTTCTCTTGGATGCTGGAGCATCCGTGGGCTCGTGTTGTAGTTTCGCAAGAGCTGTTTGTATATGTCCTTTACTTGGAAAGGGAAGACGTTTTATTTTTTGTATTAGACACGCATGGGGAGTAGGGAGATGTAAAAAAGCCCTCTTTGGAGTTCGAGGGGTCCCCGCACATGCAACCAATTCAAGGTTTGGATATGCCCCCATCTGCGTGCCCTCTGTTGCTACCGGTAGATCTAACCAGTCCGTATCCAAACACACGAACACCCTCCCCGGTTTGCACGCGAATGGCAAACCTATCGTGGGGCATGGATATCCCTGATCTACCAAAGGGACTCAAAAGAACAACAGGCTCGAGGGAAAACCCGGCCAACCGGATCAAAAACCCTCGTTTAACACCCTAAATATAGAAAAACCGTCGCTATCACGGAGGATTCCAACGGCCGAACTTCCAAGACAAGACCAAGGCAGGACAGATTGAACCGGTCACGCTGATTACACACCCGGAGCAACGCTCTCGGCGTTTCTAGGCTCCAGCCGCGGGTGACGCGCCGGCACGACGCTTCCTGCGTGACGTACCATGGTCATATATGCCGAGTGCTAAAACTACGAGACAAACTAAACAGAACAAGAGAACGCTACATCGGTAGGCTCATCAGAGCCTTCCGGTGGTACTCCAACTTCTCTCTGCCAAGGACCTTGTTCAGCATGTCGGCGTGCTGCTTTCCAGTCGGAACATACTCTGCAGTGATCTTGCCCGACTTGAATAGCTCCCGAATGAAATGGAACCGCACGTCGATGTGCTTGCTCCTCGCTGAACTGAACGGGTTCTCGATTAAGGCGAGAGCCCCCTTGTTGTCCTCAAGGACCTTGATCTTCGCCCCACTCATNAACTTCTCTCTGCCAAGGACCTTGGTCAGCATGTCGGCGTGCTGCTTTCCAGTCGGAACATACTCTGCAGTGATCTTGCCCGACTTGAATAGCTCCCGAATGAAATGGAACCGCACGTCGATGTGCTTGCTCCTCGCTGAGCTGAACGGGTTCTCGATTAAGGCGAGAGCCCCCTTGTTGTCCTCAAGGACCTTGATCTTCGCCCCACTCGTCTCGGGCGCTATGAACGACAGAACGCCACGCACAAACAACGCCTCCTTCACGCCCTCCCCGGCTGCCATATACTCTGCTTCCGAGGTCGACTGAGCCGTCGCTGGCTGCGTCTTGGTAGATGCACACACTACGGTACCACCTACGGCCACAGCTAGCCCGGTCGTATAACGCCTGTCTACTTCGTTGTCAGCGTAGCTGGCATCGACACTCTTAGGTCTAGTCCTGACCCCCGTACGTAGGTGATGCCGAAGTCCTTCGTGAAGTTCAGGTAGGACATGATCCGCACAAGCGCGTTCCATATCCTCCCGGTGGGTGAGTGGGCGATCTTCTGGAGCTTGTTCAGAGGCAGGGCGATGTCTGGCCTCGTCAGCTTCGTCCACATCAGGCATCCGATCGCCTCCCTCACAGGCTTATCCACCGCGGGCTCGTCATCTCTCTTCGGCCCTAGGTCGGCATCGGTGGCAGCAGGGGTGAAAGCGGTCGTGGTCACATCAAACCGCTTCAGCATGCTCTCAATGTATGCTGTCTGGGACAGCTTGGTGATGCCATTTTCTACGCCCATGGCGAAAGCACACCCGTCGTACCAGGTACACTCCCCCAGATCTTTCACCGGAAACTTCTTGTTGAGGGAAGCGAACAACTCCTCTCGCGCTCCCTCGTCTGCCGCCACTAAGATGTCATCAACGTAGATCACGATGAGACCTACGACCTCTCCATCCACCACCTTCCGGAAGACACACGGGTCAACCCTGCACTGCTCGTATCCATTCTCGATGAGGGCGTCTGCAGCTTCAACCCCCCACTCACGGCCACTCTGCTTTAGGCCATACAGGGCACGCTCAACCTTGACCACCTTGCCGGACATGCTACCACAGCCTTCCGGGAACCTGAGGTTTTAGCTTAGCGTGGATGTACGCTTGCTTCACATCCCAGTGAGCGAGTTTCTTGCCCTTTTCAGTGGCTACGGCAATCACCGCCTTGATAGACGCTGCAGACGCGCACGCTGAGGATAAGTGGTGGAAGTCGATGCCGGGGATTTGAGGGGAACCCCGCGCAACCATACGGGCCTTGAAGTCGACTACCAGGCCCTTCTCATTCGTCTTCCAAGAGAACACCCACTTTGAACCTATGGCCTTCCGCCCCTCGGGCAGCTCCTTGACCTTGGTAAAGGTTCCAGTCTTGTCGTGGCCATCTATCTCTTTCTTCATGGCCGCCTCCCAGAAAACCTTGTACTTGGAACACATCACATCCTTGTACGTCATCGGTACTGCTTCCACATCACTCGGCTTCTGCCCGATTGGCAAGGTCATACTTAGCTGTGGGTCTGGGAGTGGTTGCGAAGACCCTCTGGCGTCGACCTCGGCCCCGAATGCCTGCTGTTCCGGGCCCAACACCTCCTGCATCTCGCGCCTGTACATCTCCTCCATACGGCGTGTCTGCTCCTGTGGCTCCTGCATCTCGCGCCTGTACATCTCCTCCATACGGCGTGTCTGCTCCTCGTCCCACTCCTCCTTCACAAGCGAGTTGCAGATATAGTCCTCAACAATCCCCGTCCCGCCAGTTTCCAGGATGGTCGCCAGCAGTGCCTCTTCCGGGTCCGGTGTTTCTCCGGGCCCCGGCATCTCCCCGGCACCTTGCATCTCCCGAGTCTCCTTCCGCGTGCGGCCACGCTCAAGCCCATGGCGCAGCGGGCCAGCGTTCGAGGCGCCCCAGAGGAGTTTCT